TATATATATATATATATGATTTAAAAAAGCTTTATTTGTTATAAAGAAACAACATTAACTAGCAATTTTATATCATGAGTACGTTCTGTTTTTAATAAAATAAGACTTTGCGTTTTTCTGATTATACAATAGAAGCTAAATTTTTCGATTGTTTGAATTTGTACATTCATAATTAATACAATTTTTCTCTTATTTTTTTAAGTATATATATATATATATATAATATAATTTAATTACTATACATCTTTTCAAATAAAAATAAGAAGCATGCGGTTTATTTCATTTCTTGATGAATTACTTATTTTTCTTTACCTTTAAAAACCATATTTTCTTTAAAGATATCTCCTTTGTACGAATATTTATTATATTCACAGTAAGTAATATAGATATTTCTCTGAGTTTCACTTTATAATGACTGGATAATTATAAATAGAGTGATACAATCTGGCTGCCAAGCAAAGATTTAAACTCTATATAATATCAATATTTACGTTTTAGTAAAGCACTATGCATCTGTTTTCGGCCTTCCTTGGGTACGTTTCTCGACATTTCTTTATCAAGTATTTCTTGTACCGTATTTAGTAACACAGAGTTTGTGACGTTGAGAGGACATAACATGGCAACACAGAGTAGTAGCTTATATAACTTTTTAGTGTAACATAATTATACTTTATTAACGAATTCTAAGGCAGAATGCAAGATTTGTAAAAAACAAATTTGCGCAAATCAGTGGTATACTTTAATATTTCATTCAGAAAATCATAAACATATCGATAGATCATATAAAACGAGATCATATAACTCGATATGGCAATATTTTAGCAAATTTGAAGGATGTGGGAAATGCAATGTTTGTGGTACTACTATATCTAGCAGCGTATACAATTTAAAGCACCACTTGGAACTAAAATATTCAAAGATAGCAAATTTAGTAAACGCACACACATACACAACAAAGAAAGTTATTAAACACGACTCGAACCCATATTACGAACATTTAAGCAAATATAAGGTACAATGCAAGCTGTGTAATGTAACTGTTAATTTAGCAAGTATCAATAAACATTTGAGAAATGTGCATTCACAAAATTATACTAATAAAAAGAAAACAGAAAATGACTGGATATGGCAATATATCAAGATGAACGCATATGACAGTGTAAAATGTAATATTTGTAATCGCAGTTATACGTTAAATGTGAAAATTACATCAAACTTCAAAAAGCACTTGATTAAATACCATAAAATAAATGCACATTCAAAGATTACTGAAAGTACTAAAGAAAATAAAACGCATAAAGCGATAAGACAATTTGAAACTACAGAAAATATAGCAGATGCAAGTATTTATCAAATCGTTCCACATTCAAAAATTCAAGAAAATGAAGATAAAAAGAGGTATATTTTATAAATATAATATTATTGTTTTTTTTTCATTGAGTCCTTATTTATATAACTTTTACATACAATAAATATGTAAAAGATCAGATATTTATCATAAATATTTTTTAAATAAATTATTAATGTAACGTACTTTGGAAACTAAAACTCTTAAGAAAACATTTGATTATAGATTTCATCAGGTAAATGCATATTCTACGCCCGATGAGAATACTGAAGAAAATAAAACGAATAGAATAAAACAATTAATAATTAAAGAAGACATAATAGATACAAGTTTTCATCAAACCGTTCTATATTCAAAAATTGGAAACAACGAGGAAAAGAAATGGAGGTAAATTTTATAAATATTTTTTTATTACATTCTTTAAATTTATCATTTATATTTTTCTAATTAAAATTCCTAAATATTTGAATAATTGGGCAAAGATTTTTGGATACAAAGAGGAATCTTGTTCAAATTTTAAATTCGATTTCTTACTTTAGTCTATTTATTATAGATAAAAACTTAGAAAAGAGATAGTTTCCATATAATATTTAGCTAAATAAGGCTTTTGATTCGAATACGTTTTTAATAATACTAATTATATATATATATTTATTTTATTAATTACTTTAATATAAAATTATGGGTTATTGAAATTTCAGCGCAACAAATAATAGTAATATAAATGGTGGACAAATTCTGTTAACAGAAGGAGATAAAGTATACACTGTACTCTAATGACTTAAATCAGTTCGAATAAGTGAAAAAATTGGTTTTATACATTGACGAGTCAGTTCGTTCGAGAAGTAATTCTTATAAACGAAGTCAAGCAGAGTTTTATATGAATTAAAGAGTATTTATACCTATATATATTTATTTTCTAGTTTTATATTTATCTATTATATTTTGTATTAGACATGTGACATTATAATCTAATCTTATGAAGCACTAATTCATTATATTTATAAAAATAATATTTTAAGGACACTGTATTGATAAAATATGTTAATTTAATGTTTGTTAGATATATAATTTATTCTTAAATATATACATATATTATTGGACAAAATAATTTATGTATAAAATCAGTGTATTTTTATTAATAAAGTGACATTTTTTTCATGAGAAGTATGATATTTAGAAATCTGTAATAAATTAAAAAGAGACAAAAATTTATAAATAATATTCCACTTATTTATTTCAGATTTATCTGTCTTATCGACAGGAATAATAACATCGTAATTATTTCGAAAAATCAATATTTTCTGACTTCTTTTTATGTTAAAAGATTCTAATAACATAATTCACAGTCTGATGTATTTGTCATCAACTTGATCATATTAAAATACAAATCAACTTTCAGCGCTCTTTATTCCGAACATAAAATATCGGGATTACAAAAGAAGATTGCTAGACATGTCAATATTGCACAAAAACAATATTACGCGATAACATATTGGACATAGCTTGCGTATACATATTAGAAAACGTCTCATATTTTTTGTGTTCAGAAATTATTTTTTTTTATGGAATCTGATATCAATCTTTAATTTCGGACACGCATGGAACATTAGAAAAAAGATCTCGAAGCTTAGATTAGCCGTATAGTAACTTGTTCTAGTAACCGATTATCCTTGCTGTAAGCAATATCGTCAATATCGACCGACAGACGACAGGCCAGTTCTCGGGGACCCCCTAACATAGGATAATATCACGCCGAGGAGCAGACTCCGCGCCAGGTGGTCCGGACGCGACTTCGACCTTCGTCGGCTCGCCTCTCGCTTTCTTATGCGCTCCTCTTAAAAGGGGAGCGCTGCGGAGTGGCCGCTCCGCGCATCACTGCGCCCCACTATCCTTCCACGCACTCGCACTCGCAAGCCGGCGCGCGTACGAACAACGCCGTGGCGTCTCTCAGCTGCGGATCCGCGCGGTCAACCTGTTCCGTCCATCCGCCTTCTCTCTTCTTCCTCGGAACCGCGTCGTAAATGGAGGAGCGGAAGGGTCATTAGACCAGACCCCGGAAACCCCAAGAGAGGTTCTCGAACCGCGATTGATTGCACACCGTCATCACGTGGCCGTTCGGGGAAGAAGAGGGAGTTCTTGATACCAATATTGCAATTGTTCTGAATTCTGAAAACAATTCATTACTTTCTTCTCTTTGATTTCCTCGAAGTTTCTGTACTCTTGTGACGTAGAAGTCCACGCCGAGGGTCTCGAACGAATTGATAGAGATGGTTCGAACAAGCTGTATTATTATAATGAGTAGCTGTCTACTTAACGCAGGACTCGCGCAGCAAACGAATTCGAATACACTGTCGAACATTACACGCGCAGGGGACAGTTGGAATGATTACAGAGACAGAGACGTACGACTCTTTCATGTTTCTGACAACCTATTCGTGTGGAGTTCATTGGTACGTTTCCACGCTGCTCCGTGCTGTAGCACCCGACTCGACCGAATGCGAATGACCCACAAACTCGCGTGCATTATCCTCCTTTCTTTCGCGCAGCCATCGCGTCGACTATCTCGGCGTTCATAACGTCCTAATGGGCGGTGGAGGGTCGACTTCGTGACTGTGCGGTTGCCATAGTGCTGCAGTGGTTGCCTTGGTAACACCCAGGACCCGGAAAGTCATTTATCACGTAAAGTCGTGGGTTGTACAAAGAAACCGGAAGACGAAATCGATACTTTTGGTCGGGTTCCGCATGAGAATCTGTGATAAATGAGCTATATAGGTTTTATTATTATACTATATGATTACCTGATCACATTTGAACAATAAATGACTTTCCGTGAGGGTGTTCCACTTGACGTTCGTAATGCTCGCAAGCATAAACTTCAACCTTGTTGTTTTCAAAGGTTAAATAAAGATGAAATAATGCGAGCGTTGGCATGCGAATGTTAAGTGAAATGCACCCTCCTATATAAGGTTATATATAGTCATAAATGAGTGAATGAATCGTGATCGAACGAAAGTGATTTTTAATAATCATCGGAATCATTTTGATGCCATTTTGATCTCATCGTGACTTTTTGTTCTGCTTGGAATGTGTCTAGCCTTACATACTTAATTTGTATACACAAAATGTTTGACAATTGATGATAAAACTCTCGCATAGGCGCGGAATGAACTAAACTGATTGCGAGTAGAACAGTCGTCTTGCATTTTTAGCATCCGTTAACTAATGCAAAAAGTATAATAAAATAGTAATTAAAGGACTTTCGTCGGTTTAGTCCACTCTATTCCTACACGAGACTTTTATCGTTAATTGTCAAACAGCCGTAAACCATCAGTTGTGCATTTCTTGATTTTAGGACTTCCAAGGCTAATGTTTGAAATTATTACTGCTAATCAAAGTATTAATCAAGGAGGGAGATGAATGCTCATCAATCGCGGGATTCCTTTTGGCTACGCAAATTCAATCTGTCATACAATAATTGCCAATAAATTTACAATTTAATTTGCAAATCACCACCACGGTTTTTATAATATTACAAATTAAATAAAAATGTCTCTCTCTCTCTCTCTCTCTCTCTCTCTCTCTCTTGATTTTTGGCTATATACCATACATATATTCGACGGCAGCTAGAATTTAATAATGCAAATAGTGTATTTCAACGTGAAAAATGACAGATTAAAAATATATATTTCTTCTTCAAAAGTGTACTAAACGATTCCTTAGTAATTGAGCTGATGACTGTTTATAATAATTTGTTGCTTGCAGCATTTTGAACGTCTCTAGATTGTGCCTGCAAACGCACATGCCAAGGACTTTCGATTAACCCGGATGATTGCGCCTGCAAACGCACATGCCAAGGACTTTCGATTGACCCGGATGATTGCGCTAATAAAATGATCGACGACGACCTCGATGGAATACTAAGAATTTGATCTTTTACACGTGCGAGATATAATTTTAGGACATTATACTTTATAATTTTAATATTATACTTTATCAGAATGCATAATTAATTAAATTACACAAATATTAAAGTTGTATTTAGAGCGAGTATTTACATATAGTTTAAGTTAGATATAATTACGGCTATGTTTGTTTAAAGAAAATTAAAAACAAATTTGAAAATTTTAGAGCTTTGTTCCTACATGTTTTCAAACTGCAGGTTTTGTGACTGTCAAGAATCTGTGCATTATAATAAAATTTTATTGCACAGTATAATTAAAAAATAAAACTCTAATTTGAATAAATTTAATTAAAAAAATTAAGAAATATAAATAAAACAAAAATTGTATTTATATGCACATGGAATTGAAAAATTTTTCCGTAAAAATATAACACTGTTGAAATGCAAAAATAAATGTCAAAGAAACAAATAAATCTATAAAAGACAGCTATATACTTAAAATAAAGGACGTATGATTATCATACATAAAGTACAATATACTGTTCTACTGTAGAATATATCAAAAATAAAAGCGCGCATTTATTAATAAAAGCACGTTCTAAATTTAGACCTATATTACATAGCAAGATTAATATTCTCGTCAAGGTGAAGCAACGCTATACGCATCCGCTTCCCTGGTATCCGAATGATTTATTGTTCAGGCTCGCTTTCTATAATCTATAACGTCGAGTTTCGTGCGGCCGGAATGATTCGCGCTATCTTGAGAACATCTATTTTTATACCGGCGGAGCGGCTCTGATCTCGCTGCCATCTGTGAAGCGGCACGAAACGCTTCTTCGCGGAGCGGAGAGCTCGGCTACGCGAGCACCTCTTCGACTTCGGACCCTCGGGTACGTGCTCCGGAAGTGGATGTTACGGTTCTTACGATGCGTGTGACGAGTATCTTTTGTTGTAGCCGTTCGTTACGTCGCGCCGATTAATCGTCCCGGGTTCTGATCGAGTTCCACGGAGAAAGAGCGCCAGAACAAGTATATTTATCGCTGCCAGTGGATGCACGGGATGCTTGCTGCGTATCCTCGCTGGAGCACTTCGCAGCTTCACTTCCCCGCGGTGGCCCTGTCGTGAGAGCAATGCATTCTTCGAAAAGTGACGTTTATCCCAAGTTCAATCCCGAGCTGATCTTCGATGTGAGAGATTGGTGTCTCGCGAGGAAATGACATTACGCACTTGTTTTTATATACGTGCAGGTGAAGCGACTGGCGAGCGTTTGGTGACATGTCAGTTAGAACGTAGCATTTGACATTCTGTTTCGTGAACAGGTACACGCTAATAAGCCACTCAGTCTTTGGGGTGTTCTACGAGAGAGGAGTACGAGAGGAACGTCAGTCACGTATCAAGTGGAGTACGAAACAACATGCCTTCTGTTTGTGGTGACATGATTGATATGGCTGGTAAATCATACGTTTCTATAAGTCTGTTATTTTTTTAGGAAAGTGCTGAATTGAAGTACTCTGATACAATAAGTTAGAGTGGAACAAATACAGGCTGGTGTTCATAAGTATATTTTTATTTTAAGACTGTCTTAGGTAATGTCTTAAGATGCTAATACAATTTTTGTGATAGGTTTATAACATCTTAAAACTATACTTAAGATGATTCTAAGTATAAGTTCTAAACATAAGATTTGATTAGGAATATTCTCTGATTAGTTCATGATATCTTAAAATAGTCTTTAAGATAAAAATTGGCTATGGTATTCATAGTCGATTCATATTTCAAAACCATCTTAAATAATGTCTTAAGATGCAGCTTTTTGATTGGTTTGTGAGACCTCAAAACTGAACTTAAGATGGTCTTGAATATAAGGACTGATTATGAATTCTGACCTATAAATACCAGCCTGTGATTGGTTTATGACATCTTAAGATTATACTCAAGACGATCTTAAATATAAGAACCCACTATAAATTCTGGCTGTAAATTAGTTTATAACATCTTAAGATTATATTTAAAACAGTCTTCCTTAAAAATGTAAAAATCAACTATAAACACCAGTCATTTCACTTCAATTTCTTATTGCACCAATATCCTAATATACAACTCAGAACATTCTTTGAGAAAGAACAGTTCTATACATATATATTGTTATATCACACCCATGCATAATACTGTTTCTCAATATAGTAGCTGTGTAAATATTTTTGGTATATGAGAATGATTTTGTGCAGCTGCCTCGCAATCGAGCATAATGGAAGGGACCAGTACGGATAGCGTGGGAACACAGAGTGACATATCTGGACACACAACAGTACCAGGAAGACCCAGAATGGACGTGGCCTGCGTCTTGGATTTGCAACAATCGGAACATCTTGTGCAACGAAAGAAAGCGCTAGACGAAGTTAGACAGGCCTGTAATTTGGTCAATGCCAATATACATCATATACAGGTATAGTTTTTGAATGAATCGACTGTTTAAATAACAACAGGATAGCAAAATATGCATTTTCAACGAGACTAAATAAAGATAGAAGTAAAAAAAAAAACAAACTGTTGCAACACATCAATCTTATCAGTTTCAAACAAGCTTTTTTGTATATTAAAAGTCAAATGCTAGATAATCTTAAGAATATTTTTTATATACTTAAAGCTAAAAATAACTAAAGATACAAGAGTTATAAAAGTAAAGTAGTCTTTGATCTCTATTTGATTTTTCATCTTTTGTAGTTTGAGAAGCTTGATTTTGGCGAAACTAATGTGCTGGACACATTTTATAACGCTGATGTGGCAGTTGTGGATTTAAGTATACAATTGCAACAATCTTCGCTGTTTTATCATCTCGGTGTTAGGGAAAGTTTTGGAATGAAGGAAAACATTTTGCTATATAATGACATAGACACAGAAGCTACAATTAGACTCAAGGTATGTATATGCTTTGTATAGCACATGTATGTTTTTCATTGCTTTTAGAATATAAGTGTGAATAAGTCTCGTACACTCATTGCAAAACACTATATATAATAGTAATAGTAGTGGTAGTTGTAAGACACGAGTGACCTTGATGGTTTGTTAGACTAAGGATGCACTTTATAGCTGTGATCTCAATTAATGCTCTCACATAAATAGATTGCTCGGGGCGCATGAAACCTACACTGTATGCACTGTAGGCACAGCATACTAAACAGGTTCCAGTATTCCTTCATCCTTGAGAAGATATGCATCTAGTAGTTTTCTTTCATGTGAAAAGAATGATTTATAATACGTAAATAATTTTATTTTAATAACTGTTTCCGAAAATTATATAGTATTTAATTTTACACACACAAGAAAATTAAAGAAAGTGGAAATAGTAAAAAAATATTAGCTTTTACGATGTATTGATTTCACTTGCTATTATGCATTCTCACGAGTAGTTTAATCTTGTTGTAGGCACTTCGAAAGTTTTTTTTTCTGAATTTTTAATAATCACTTAGTTATTAACGTAATTATTTTCTATTTGCTGATGTAATTTTCTGCAAGACTCGTTGTTTCGAGAACTTTGAGAAAAGACGTGTTATTTTTACTGTGGTTGGTAATTAGAACGTGTTGTGCGCGGAACGGTACTCGACGTCGGACTGCCGCGGGTTAAACATTATCGGTACCATCAGATGAAATGATGTCTCTGCCTGTTGGGCAAGCACCAAATATGTAATTCTGCTTAATAAGGAGTAGAAAAACGTGAGCTCATACCCTCAATATAGCAGTTACTCAATATAGTACTCAGTATAAACGATTGCGCAAATGTGCACGATCGTTCCCTACGATTTATTACTGATTTGTTATACGTACGTTTCATTTCTATATATATTGTACCTGTTGCACCCATTATTAATTTTATTTGAAATTATTATGTATTGAATAATTTATAAAGATTTGTAAGAGAACTCGAGAAGAAATTTAAAGTGCATGTGTTAAAGTTAATGTATATAAAAAAATATAATAAATAATCATGAAATAACAGATTATGAGAAATTAAAATTAAATCCAGTTTATTAATTAAACATAGATTGTTGATAATGGAGTACATAAAGTATGTCACGGAAAATGATTTGTTCGTGTAATTTTTTAAAATCAGTTATTATATTTTTCTGATAGCGTTTATCTAAAACTATTCTTTTTAATTACAGTATGCATTATTTTTTGAAATTAATTTACACAGAAATATGTCTTTTGTACAGTTATCCTGTGGCAGTTACACATTTGTTTCGTATCGCGTTGTGGAATCGTGTGGATCATGTGTAGCTACTAATCCAGCTACCAGCAGAATTACAGGCGAAGAAACAATAGATCCCAAACAGCATCTCACTCTGAAACTCAAGAAATTGTTTCAGGATGTAGAAATACAATCCAAGTAAGCAAATATGAACATTTTTTACAAGCAGAAATTTTTAATCATTACCCTATAAAATGCAAAAAACATTTTTAAAATGTTTTAATGTACAAAATTTTTATTAAAACCAGAGCACATATGAAAGAGAAATTTCTGGCAGATCTACGTAAGGCGCGTGAGACATATTCCGGAGAAGAACTTTCCAGAGCTCTGAATAACATGCGCAAACGTTTAGATGATCCAAATGTTCTATCAGGAGAGGTCGTTTTAAACGTTCTCATTTCATTCCGGGAAATACAGGTAAAATAATGATAAATTAATATTACTTTCCAATAAAAATTGTACTGTTATATAAAAATCTAGATATTTACATTTACACTTGCTTTAATATTATTAGGATTACGATGCAATGGTACAACTGGTTGACGATTTGAGAACTATACCAACTCATAAGAATTATATAAATACTCCAGCTATAAGATATTTGTACGCGTTTGCTCTAAATCGACGAAACAAAGAGGGCGATCGAGAAAGAGCATTAAAGGTTATCGAGAAAGCACTGGAAAAAAAGGAAAATCATGTTCCTGATATGTTGTGTTTATGTGGAAGAATATATAAAGACATATTTGTGGAAAGCAGACACACAGATCAGGAGAGTTTAAAGAATGCGATTCACTGGTACAGAAAAGGTTTTGAGGTACTGTATCCGTATATATTGTTTCTCTATTATTGAGACCATCTCGGTTAATATATATATATGTTTTGTTATTATTATATTTATAGGTTCAGCCTAACGAATATGCTGGTATAAATCTTGCTACTTTATTGGTCATAGCCGGAAATGAGTTCTCTAAAAGTGAGGAGTTACAGCACATAGGAATGGTATTAAATAACTTAATTGGCAAGAAAGGCAGTTTACCGAGCTTAAAAGATTATTGGGATGTAGCAACGTTCTTTGAAATTAGTGTATTAGCGGAAGATTATTCGAAAGCTTTGCAAGCAGCTGAATGTATGTTTAAATTGAAGCCACCGAATTGGTAAGCATACGAGAAATAAAGTTTGGATTTATTTCACGAAACATAGTATGTTTAGAATGCAGAGTAAAGTACATATTTCAGTACTTATTTTAATTAATTATTTTAATTTGTAGGTATCTGAAATCGACAATTGGCAACATATCACTGATAGATAGGTTCCGTAAAAAAAATGAGGAAGCTGAAATTGCACCGGAGGAACAAATATTTAGTTTCTGGATGGACTACTTTGTCGAAGCTACAAAGCCGGAGGTTGGCGATAGTATACGGTTTCCAGTAAGTTGATAAATGGAATCGTTCTACTGAGGATCCAGTTTCCAATTCGGGAGATTATGGCTTATATAGTTATGTGTTACCAATCCAGCTTACTTCTGTACATTTTGGGTCAAAGTAAGAATAATATAAAACTGCTTTTAGCGCAGATTTATGGATTCACTCTTAAAAATCAACTTCCCACTTTAATAATCTTTCCAGTAAAAACGCTTAATATATAACAATATTTTGATTTAGATTTTAGTGTTGGAACCAACAAAAATTTTAATGCCGAGTTATGTAAACGTGAATCTCGGTGCGGAGGAGAAGTCTATACAAATATGGAATTTATGTCTGGATAATATGAAGAACAGTTGCAAACAAGTTCACGATTGGTTGTTTACTGCAAACATGATACGTAGCGTAAGCCTGTACAAAAGGGATGAAAGATGTCTTTTTCTGTACGTTCATCAAAATTCGGATGATTTTCAAATGTATCTACCATCAGTACAATGTAGGCAAAGATTTTACGACTTGATCTTAGAAATGACTAGAGATCAAGAAGGCATGGTTACAGATTTGGATACTTACATGACTGATGATCGTATGAAGGTTTCTATCAATTTTAATATCACTTATAGTAGTATATGTACATACAATTTTAAAAATAATTTTTAATTTTTTAATCTGTGTTTTTTCAGTTCGAGTATGAATTGGATGATCAAAATAAGCGTATAATTCTCGGTAAAGGTACATACGGCGTAGTGTATGCAGCGCGTGATTTAAATACGCAAGTCAGGATTGCGGCAAAAGAAATTCGTGAACGAAATTTGGGCGATGTACAGCCTCTTCATGAAGAAATTAAATTACATAGTCAATTGAGGCACAGAAATATTGTTCAATATTTGGGTTCTGTAAGCGAGGATGGATATTTTAAAATCTTTATGGAGCAAGTTCCTGGAGGTAGGGAGGGAGAAAGACATAACGTAACACATCAAGAAATTTGTGACCAAAATGTGTAAACATTCATAATTGTTATAAAATTTTAGGAAGTTTATCAGCGTTGCTAAGATCGAAATGGGGTCCTTTGAAAGAAAACGAATCAACTATCTCATATTATACTAAACAGATGTTGGAAGGTCTTAAATATCTCCATGATCAAAAAATAGTTCATAGAGATATAAAAGGTACATAGTTTGTAAAGTACATTTTACGTTTATTTGTTAAAGGAAATAGTATTTTTATCTTTATAGTTATTTTCACACAAATAAAGTTAAACATATGATTTAGGTGATAATGTATTGGTAAATACATACAGTGGAGTAGTAAAAATTTCTGATTTCGGTATGTCCAAACGTTTGGCTGGCTTATGCCCGAGCACAGAAACGTTTACTGGGACATTACAGTACATGGCACCAGAAGTTATTGACAAGGGTCAACGTGGTTATGGTGCGCCTGTAAGTTTATATTTGATTAAATGTTTTGTTTTGAGAATATAGGATAAAGACATGTTTGTATCATGTATGTCGCAATAACAGTTATTCAAATGTTTCTCTAGGCGGACATTTGGTCTTTAGGTTGCACGATAGTTGAGATGGCCACCGGCAAACCTCCGTTCATTGAGCTAGGTTCTCCACAAGCAGCTGTTTTTAAAGTAAATTGAGAATATTACATTAATAACATTTTACATATTTACTTATCTAAAGTCTGATGTATATATGTTTGTTTGTAGGTGGGATATTACAAAATACATCCTGAGATTCCGTCAGAGTTATCTGAAAGAGCAAAAAGTTTTATATTACGTTGTTTTGAGCCAAATCCTGATATAAGAGCAACCGCGGCAGAGTTATTGGAGGATCCATTTCTTAATGAGTATATAAATAAGCATAGCACTGTAGAGTTTTATAATTTTTTTTTTTACAATCGTACAGTAAAATGCTTATTTATTATAGAAAAAAGAAGAGCAACAGATTAGTCGCGCCACCAGATTTCAGTAGAAGCATATCAGTTCCTGCAGATAGAGCGGAACGTTTGGGAAAATGCGATAAAACAAATAATAATCATATTGTCTCTGCCACACCTATACAGATGTCTCAATCCGATGATAGGTATAATAAAATTTTTTATTTTTGTTATATATAATGTATTATGTGCAAGCATTTTTTCAATCCGTGACATTTTGCCTTTGTTGTACTTTTATTGATTTATTTTATTTGTATCAAGTAATTTTTGTTGCTAATTTCATCTTTTATGTCGCTTGGTGGTAATTGTTAGATCAACACTGAAACGTTAGGAAATGTCATTCACGAAACTTGATTATTTTCGTATAATATTATGAAGGAATAACAAATTAAAATTGTATATTGTTATGTTGTATATTGTAACGTGAAAATTACGTGTATTTTTACTTTGTTTCCAAATTTTTAATATCCACATATTCTTTAATGAATATATTAAAAATATTTTATCGAAATTGCATTCTACATATAAAGAATATAATACAAGGATATAATATTCTTTTATGTGAATGCACGTGGCAAAAATTGTAATTACAAAATGTGGTTAAATTTAGTGGAGGGTTAACGAAGTCTAGCCCATTGAGGGAACGCAGTCCAGCTCACCTATTGTCCCCCATCAGTATGCCTACTACAACCCTCTCTTTTAACAGGTATGGTTCTAACTTCGTAAATTGTTTATACGCAAGTAAAGTATATAACTAAAGGAATATTTTGTTTTGTTATTTACTTATTAATAAACATAAATTATGTAGGGATTTTTTATATGATTATTTATCATGTATATTAAATGTGCAAAATGTTTAATCAGTGTCTTCAAACTGCTTACGTCTTGTATAAAAAATATTTGTAGTTATGCAGTTATTACTTTTTGCTATTAAATGTTTATGCGTTTATATAACAGCAATATATAACGTTTCGATATAATCCAACTTTGTGTAAGGTGTATTCATTTCAAATTTTCTTTATGTTTTGTGTAAGTAATATATTATTACATATTAGATGAAACATTATTATTAGATATTCTAAAGTGTTATTCGAAAAGAAAATAATATAATTACATTTTACCATAACAGTTTTGGGATTTATCTTAAGTATTAACATAAATACGTGTTAACATATAACAGCTTTGCTAAAGGATTAATATAGTTTATGTGAATACAATTTATATATAGTAGAACATAATTTGTATAAAACAGCTTTTTAACATTTGACTTATCCTATATAAAGCTTTTTCCACACAGCTTTTTCTATAACTACCTTTAAACAATAATATCCTCAAAATAGGTAATTTGAGTATTTATGTACATTTTATTATATACGTATATCATATTAAATATATAGAGATTATGTATCTTTTTCTCTCTTTTGATATATTATTTGTAATAATCTTTTTATATTATGTTCCTCTATGTTACATGATACAAGACTAATCGAATTTTTATTTGTATAAATTATTAAATAACTGAATAATACCAGAATATTAAAATGTTTAAAATACAAAATTATCACTTTTATAGTCGTATGTAATATACGTTAATAATCTTTTGAAATACAATATTAATAAAAGTTTATTAATATTACAAAAATTGTGATATTATTTATTTATATCTTTCTAGTACAATAGGGAATACTCCATCGATAGAAACTAGTGAAACTGATACAGCTGGTGTCTCAATGACTAGAAGAAGTTCGTCTGGTGGCTTATTATCACCAGAAGTTGAATTAGGAGGTAAATATTTATATGTACCATTTCATAGGATTAATATCGGAAATTATTTTTGAAAACATAAAAAATGTATTCAGATCACAATATAAATAAATATTGTAATCGTGGGCAGATGGATAGGTGAAAAATTGCAAATTATCCATCAGTCCATGATTTATTATGATATGATATTCATTTATATTTATGGAGTATATTGGAACAAAACAGGACAACCAGGACAAAAATCTGGAGAAGAGCAAGAGGGTTTTTATCTGTTAAAGAAGGATAGTCAAAGACGTATGACATTAACAAGGGTTCTCAATCAAGATGAGGCAAAAATTTGTGAAGTTTGGATGAGAGGTATACATCAAGCGGAAGGACAAACTGTGTTGCAAATGGTATTTATATACTGAAGTATCACATTGTGTGTTGCAAATAACTGTCGTCATATATGTAATTATTTATCATTATTTTAGAGTCACTTAGTGTTGCTCATGCGTGGCTTGAGAGATTATATAGCAGAGCAAAATCAGGATGTAATAGTAACCGCTATTCGAACACTGAAAGAGGAATTGGATTTTGATTCGACCGCTATTAATCATTTACATTTGGCTATTTATTTATTTCAAACAGCAGTAAATGAGGTTCTCAGAATGCATAGTATAAAGCCACATTGGATGTTTGCTTTGGACAATTTAGTAAGAAATGCTGTTCAAGCTGCTATTACTGTCTTATCTCCCGGTAAGTATTCTTTTCTCTCAAATGAAAATGGGAGCGGTAGAATAAATCATCACATATTTGACAGACATTATTGAGAACAACTCACTCCTGTGAGTGAAAGAAAAAGTATTTCATTTTAGCCACATTCTCACACGTTATTTAGTATACGAACCAGATGTGTATCTTAAGTGTAATACACGTGAAGAGATTGAGTATGTTATCATGTCAACTCTAAAAATATCTCGAGGGAAAGTCATCACTAATAATATGGGATCTCTTATTAACGTCACGTTCAGTAAGAGGATTACCGCATTCTATTTGAGTTCACACATATCTGGTTAAATTTTTTTTTATTGAAAGTAAAAAAATTAATGTATTCAAATTTGTGATCAAAGAGTAGTACACAATTTATTATATGGGATGTGTTTTGTTACAATTTGTACTTAGAATTGGGTGCCAACTTACTTGGACAAGAACGAGTACAATCTGGTGGTCAAGGCCCTGAGGAAGGGTCAACGTCTGGGGTATCAACGGTAAATTCTGTGAAATCTCAAAAAACCGCTGACTCTGTCGATAATAAGTATTGGAAAGAATATAGAGATCAAATGGGAGCATTAAAAATGGAAAATATGAAGTTACTTCAAGAACTGATAGAAAGTCAGAAATCATATCAAACGTTATTGCAACAAGCTCTCGAAGAGCAGAAAGCCCAAGTTAATACATTGACACATTTGTGTGAAAATATTAATAGAAGATCAATGAGACAGGAATCAGGGTACGAAAAATTATCATTTTATTTACTGTTGCATAATCATTATTTATTATTCATAGTCTATTACTTGTTGCAAAATTATTATTTTATTGTTGTAAAATTATTAAAATGAATCAATATCCGCTCAAATTATTACTTTATTTATTGCTATTTCTCACGTGTTGTAAAAAATTTGATTAACTATAGAAAGGTATTTTTTTTTTTAATATTTGTAGTTATAATTCTTGCATTTTTGGAAATATATCTCAACAATCCTTAACAACTATTGATACGCACAGTACGGTTTCACATCCGGATACAGCCGTTGTCGATTGGTTACAGAATCTTCAAATAGATGAAACATCAATCGATAGGGTAAGTATTTGATGAATATCTGAGAGAAATGAGAATAAAAATAAAAATAAGTGTCATGTTATTTATTTCACATGTAATATTTATGAATGGTTTTTTAATACTCTTAGATTTTATATGAGGAATATACATTGGAAGATATTTTACATCATGTTACACGAGAAGATTTCCGTAGGCTAAACTTGAGGTAAAAATGCTTTCTATTATTTAATAATAATAGCATATGTGTGTAAAGAGATAAACATCTTATATATAATTTTAGGGGAGGGATTGAACTCAGGATATGGCAAGCCATATTGAAACATCGGGAGAATAATGAAAATTAAATTGTAAAAATTACAATACAATTATATATTTTACAATCATTTTTAGTGATAAAATGTCACTAACAGCTGGAGTTTAAAGCAGAATAAATTATCTGCTTTAATTAGGTTGCCATAAGATAACTATAATGATCTAAAGAAAAGTCTAATGATTTAAATCTAAATTTCAGTCGTACATATGTTATGTTATGTTCGGTATAAATTCCCATAAAGAGAAAGAAGGTTTTCTCTGTGAGACAATGTTATAATGATATTACTGATTTATTTCGTAGTTCCTAATGTAGATGTGCTATTACTCTTTATAGAGCCATTGTATAACAAATCCGTGTATAACGATTTATGTTAATAAGACGTATTATGTCTTAGTGTTTTTTTCACAGATTTTAATTACTTTGCCAAAGTTGATATTAGAATGTGAAAAACCAGTATTTGTGCATGGAATATATGCTTATACATTACATTTTCTTATTATAAGGAATTTTGTAGCTTTGATTTTTAAATTTAGCATTTAAAAACCAGGTTAAATTTAAAAGAATCGTTTTTACATTAAATAGCTAAATCTAAAAGGATTAAATATAGTAACAAAAAATAACAAAAAGAGATTATGAATATGAATCATTAATAATATATTTGATATTATATATTTTATTCTAAAGTTTAATGATGTCTTCTGTTATGACAGAAATAATAGATACTTCCAATGGCTGATAATAAAACTGATTATATCCTATTTTTATAAGATATAGATGGATATATTCATTGTTGAATAAACAAATCTAGAAAATTTTGGTTAGAAACGGTCTATATTTTCTAAAAATAATTTTTTTATGTAATAATTGTTTATTATTACAAATGTAATAGACAGTTACATAGTTCATCTAACGAATCTTCTCAATGTCTTCATGAATAGAGATGCAATTATTTACGGTGCCTTATAGTGCCTTATAGTGCTTAAAAAGTTCCAGTCAAGAAAATATATTTATTATATAGAATAAATATGTGTAGAGAGTCATATCATTCACATGAACTAATATAAAATATTCGCTGTTGAAACCTTTTATGTTTTTAAAAATCAAAATTTTATTTGTACGAAACATAAATCTTCTTAATATAAAAAAATGAATGCTTTTATGTCGATATTTGTTATGTGAATAAGGATGCTTTTCATAATTTTTATGAGAGTTTTATATTGATTCGTGAATTCAATTAGTTTCAGGCTTTGTTCAACTTTTGTAGATATGGATTTTTATATGACGGAAAATCTCAATTTTTCTTCCATGCAATTGTAAAAAGAGAAAATTGTCTGTGCTCTGTGCAATGCACAATATATTTTGTACAGTTAAATTTTAACATATAATAATCGAGTTACGCAGGGATATCTAATTTTAATAAATTCTCGAGAGAGATCTCACTTCCTCGAAAACTCGATGCCTAATGCTTTGAAGGCTATATTGTACAAGGTGGATTGAGCTTAATTATACATACACTGATATTGCAATATATGATCTAATGACTGACAAAATTAATATTAATGCAATATTTTTGTGTAATATATACTAATATATTAAAAACTGTAGAGCGATATTCTGATTTTAACAAACTCTCGTTTTGATGCTTGTTTTCAAATATTCTGACGAAAATAGTTTTTCGCTCAATTATGTCTGTGAGCATTTAATTAAAATTAATTTCGCAATCAAAAGAAATAACTTGGAAACAAGCATCACAACGTATCGTTAATTATATATATTATATTGTCGTTTTCACTCACAAAATAGAATTAATTATATTATACATTTATAATAATAATTATTGTTCGCATGTGCGATCATTTGTAATAAAGGAATAAACATATACAATATACATGTAGATTATTTATTATAGCCATCTTTAAATAAATTTTCTTAAAATGTCTTCGAATTGTAAAATGTATTTATTTTAGAAAACGCGTCTATTTTGGGCAATGAAAGAAATTATACTGGGACTTGAGTTAGGGCTTACTTGAAGCGTAATAAAACATACCGTTCGATTTTCAAATTCTCTCCTTTTCAGCTGTAAAAGATCGGAACACCTTTGACAGACTGTAAGTAAGTCAAATAGATTCACAGCTCTCGTCAGAAGGGTATCGCTTTTCACTCAGCTTGTGAACGAAGGTTTCTTTGTTATGTCGATCGATATCTCAAGAAGTCAATCTTCAAAGTCAGAGATAGGCGGTTATCGCCACCTTTAACCTTTCACGCTAAACTGAAAAAAATAATACTTATTATTTTATCACTATTTTTAAATTACAACTTATTTTTGTATTTGTAAGTTGGGAGATTAAATATTGAAAAGGTTTTTAAGTTGAACATAAAAAATAACTTACACAGAACTATACGCAGAGATTAACACGTTTTATATAATTAAATAAATAAAAAAAGATATTTTTCGCAACAAATTTCTTAAAAACAAAGGTTTATAAGGTATTTGTTAGCAGCAGCAATTTTAAATTATCAATTTGATAATATAAAATTACATTTGTAATTTTAACATAAAACTACATTTCAAAATTGAATAGTAATTAGCACACGATTGAAAGCACAGAGGTGAAACGTACAAATTAAATAAATGTATAATTACGTAACTCAGAAAAATTATTATCGGGCACAAGATGTCGCTAGATTATCGAAAATCAGCATTTATTTACTGTATGTTATACACACTTTATTAAAGTATAAAACAAGTACATTTTTAAGATCTCTACATTTAAATCCACATAAAAAAGACAGTTTGTATTACTTCGTATTGAAGTACACTCTTCCATAATTAATTTTAACGCTTACCTAACTTCCATTTAGATCTTTTATTTTATCATTTACATAATTATCTTGGACAGAAAGATCAATTCATATAATTACGTAATTTAAATGCAGAAATAAAATGATATAATTGTAACATGTATACATTACAATTATAATAAATATAAAAATGAAATGTTAACAATAGGATAATCTCATCAGCGCCGCTTTGCAGCAAGCGAATGAATGATCATTTGTTTATAAAAGAATGTGGCGCGAAAAGAGAGAGCGCGATTTATTCCAAGAAGGAAGAAGCGACGAGCAGCTGTAGTCGATATTGCGAAAGTTTTCAATTTGCCAACATCCAACGAACGTTGAAGCGCTGGTCAAAGCCCCGGCCGTGCGAGACAAAAGGTCTCTATCGGCATTTATGCGGAGGTGTACGCACACAAAGACGTCTCACCGTGTCTCCGCGTAAAAAATGCCATTGCCTCGCCTTTGTTGTGTTTGCACTTCACGTGCGTGCAATCTACGCACGGTCATGGCCGCATATGAAATATTCAAAGTGGCTCGAATGTTAACCGGTGACCACTCTTTGGTCTGCCACCTTTGTGTCGCTCGCGAGGGATGCATCTGCATGCAGATCGATCCTGCATCTAGGAAAACCGGCTTATCCGCTCTCTAGTATGGAGAAAGAGAGATAATATCGCACGCCCCCGTTCGTTTGGTATTCTAAAAAGCGTCTCCTCTCCTTGTCATGCAATATTCAAAATTTCGCAAGAGCGATGACGAATGGAAAACGTTAGCTAGATTTTCACGATAGACATTAAATCAGTTCAAAAGTGATTTTTGGTGGCATGTTAAAATTATATACGGATTATAATTATAAGGACTACGGTATTATATGAATTATATACAGCTGTGAATCTTTGGTTTATTTTTAATTATTGCGAGCTGTCTTTAATTTGAAGGATACATTTTTTCACTTAATCATCTCTACGTTTTTTAATGACTTCGTATTCCGATTAAACCGAATCATTAAGAAACTTTTTTTATATAAGATTATTTTTTCTGATGCACAATATTAGCATCTTAAACCGTCGACGTAACTTGGATGATATCATCACCGTATTTTGTCGGCACACCAAAGATCGATTTTCGATTTTCTATGCGAGTATATAAACATTCTCATAAATTACAATTGTGTTTGGAATTGATTTTTTCATTTCACTTTTTACGCTCATCCGGCATAATTCGGCCGGAGGCGAATCATCGAGATAATTAAATGACCTGCGAAAGAGGATCCGGCGAAATATGATTATGCAAATGTTATCGAAGCAACCTTTCAACGTTTGCTCGCAATCGGTCCCGATAATATGCATCCTTTTCACTTATTTAAAATTAATGAAGTCTTTTCATCACACATTTGCTATCAGTTCTCTAACATCTATCGGATAAAATCATCCTATTAACTATAGACGTATAATGCTACACAGGGAAGATCAGAATGTTAAAAGAAGTGTTATTTTTCTTTTATCGGCCCGCTGTGTGAGTGACGCGTGTTTTATCGCTGAATATTTTCTCGCGTTATCTATCAAGCTCCAGCAGCCGGCGGCTGTTATTACAGCCGCTTCTAACGTTGCCCCATCGTTATTAGGAATTCCATAACAGGCGGCTGCGGTGAAAAGGGCATTATGGAAGAACGTATTGATGATAGGTTCTATCTCCATTCGTGCGAGGCGTCGCGATATCGTTATTTGACTAAAGCAAACTTAGAAGAATGATATTTATGGAGGGAAAAATTATAATTAGAACAAAATCCGTGTATTTTTTGTACGCAGCGCAACATTGGCGTCACATCGATTTTGCGATACTTATTTCGCTAAGGAGAAGATATATTTGTTCTTCCAGAAAACATCGTGTCTCTCGCTATATTTTCTCCTCTCTAAAATTATTAAATCTACCGTAGAGCTTAATTGGAACGCTTAAGGGAAAGTTTTTCGTTGTAACGAGATAATCGCGGATGGTCGAGTATCCATGGGGATGGCGAACACTGGAGCACCCTTTTCCGGGTGGGAGGCGGGGGTGGTACAAAATGTACAATGTTTCACGGTTAAATGGTTCGATTGTGCTTTCGGAAAAGGGGCGTAATATTCGCCTCGGTGAATTATTAAATCCACCCCGCTGATTTATATTTTCTTACTTTCCGCCTTCCCGTTCGATCTTATGGGGTGGAGATCTGCAGGAGAGATCTGATTGTGAGACACCCTTTGATCTGATTACTTGCTCCGCAGAGTATGACTGAAATCTTGCGCTCTCTTTCTCGATGCGGAAT